TACGTCGTATTGGTTACACAGAATTACAAATACTTTTACGCAATGAAAGTGTGCAAAAATAAATAGAAGCATTGCTCGATATGTGTCGAAAACGAACAAAAAATTTTTAATGTAAAATCTCGAGCTATCAGTTAGCATAATATTTGCCTAATTCAAAAGTTCCGCAGCTTGTACATACCGAAATTGTGGATGCTCCAAGCAGAAAAATTTTAAAGAACATTGCTCTACCTTCGCATCCGCATTTGGAAGCTTAAGAATATCGAAAAAGTTTGCAGAAAGATTTCTACACATATATGGTTAGGTTTTCCGTTGAGTATGGTAAAACAATGCAACACACATTCGTGTAATTTCTGTATATATAAGAAATACGAAAAGGATAGCGTGATTATGTTAGTAACGATCGTTTCTGCATTATCGACATTGTTCGAGTTCGTCATTGACTCCAGCATCCTCTTAATATCTCCAAATTTTACGTAGTTATATAAAAAAAAAAAAAACACTAATTCCATTACTCCACCCTAACCTATTCTAGCTATATATTAGCTCTAATACGGTATGAATCAGACACCCTATCAACATAATATTACTAGGTATAGTCTTTTTAACTGAACTAGGTTGTACTCTTTGCTGTTAGACAAATATACAGAATGAATCATCTAATCCTAAAATATTTCTGTTGTTTTTATATTAGAGGAAAATATTTAAGGAATAAATTGTGTGATTGGAAAAGATAAATATTATGGTTAACAAATTCTCTCAATCCCACACAATTTATTTCTTTCATATTTTCTGCTAATATAAAAAGTAAGATGATACTTTAGAATCTAACATTTGGTGACTCACTCTATAAAGACAAAGGAAAAAAGTTCCAGTGAAGTACTAGTTTAGTTAAGAACAACAAGCCTAATGATATGTAAAAATTAACATACTAACATGTAAAGTTACTCCAATAATCATTTCTGTGGAGATAAATGTAGGCAACAAATTCTACTTGCCAAAAGATCACAGATAAGAAACATACTTTATCATTGAAAAGACTATGAACACAATTCCAGTAGACATTTACCAACATCAATCAGCAAACTACATGATAAAGTGTCAGTGTATAGCGAGCAGATCAGTCAAAAGCGTTAACAAAAAATTGACAATAAATACCAAAGTAGCTTTGCTAGTGCAGTTTCAGCAAACTGTCTGCATAAATGTTACAGTATCTGATGGTCATAATATACATCATATTGACAGTCAACAGTGAACTGATGTGTAAATACGTTGACAACAAATTGATGCTAAAAATGCAGTAGATCTGCCGAAATGTCAATTTGGTAACAGAAATTGTATTATTCTGTTTGCAAGCGAATGGTTAACTGGATATAATGTTCTAAAATATGGTAGTTTTTTAATAGATTTTTTTGGAATTCCAGTATAATATTAATTCTTTAGTATTAAGGCTATACTAATCTGTGATTTGTAATATTCTATTTTTTAGAATATTGTTTTCTTTGTATTAACAAAACTTACATATATTACTTTGTTCGCCACAAACGAAGTTGAGTTATAAAGTTGATTTATAAATGACAAATATAGAGAGATTGACGGTAAAAGAATTATTTCGCAAATTGCACAGGCGTATATCGCTATTGATGTTAACGAAATTCTTGACACAAATTTTTAAGACACAATCAAATATCCTCGGTTAAACATGTTTATCTTTTCTTTGCCACGGCATGTTTCACTTTAGGTTATCCGTCCAACTATATAACCAATAACCATTTATACTCCTACACACGACAAATGTGTGTGGTACATACAAAAAACAACTTATTTTATTATTGAAATTTCGAGTAAATACTTGCGTTTTGTGGTAGACTCTCTCACATATCTCTTGAAACCTTTGTTGTAGAACACGATACGGGGATAATATTTACAAGCGCATTTCTTACCAAGTGAAATTAGGTTAGGTTGTAAGATGTGTTCTGAGATGTACCGATCAATGGTCTGTTCCTTTTAGCTGCATTCTTAGGCCGGTATTCATAGTCGAATCTTATTTCAAGACCATTTTAAATAATGTCTTAAGATGCGAATACTGTGATTGGTTTATGACATCTTAAGACAGTACTTAAGATGATTTTAAATATAAGATCGGACTATGAATACTGGCCTTAGACCTATATTTTTGAAATAGTTGCGTACCCGTAAAGATCGTTCTACATTATGGCCGGGATTCATAGTCAGATCTTACATTTAAGATCAACTTAAGTACTGTCTTAAGATGTCATGAACCAATCACAGAGCCGTATTCGCATCTTAAGACATTACTTAAGACGATCTTGAAATAAGATTCGACTATGAATACCGGCCTATAACATGTTCGACTGGCTCTGGGTTAACCCACTCTGGATTATTCAACCTACGTTTATTGGTCGAACAAGTACTTATAAGCTTTATGATTGGCTAGTAGAAACTTATGAAGTCATTAATCGCTCTCGGAGCGATTAACCCAAGGCCAGTCGAACACGCTATTAAGCCACTGGCACACAATGCTTGTTTTCATGCTGGATTGCTTGCTGGATGGAAATACTCTGTTCTGATTGGTATATTTCTGAAGACGGACCAATCAGAATAGAATATTTCTATCCAGCAAGCAATCCAGCACAAAACAAGCATCGTGTGCCGCTGGCTTTAGTTGCAAGCCGATCGCAAGCAGACGCAATTCTTATTGCGACAGCTAATCAAAAGCATCAATGGTGCAATTGACGCTTCTGATTGGCTGTCGCAACAAGAGTTGCAATCGACTTGCAACTAATGCAGAACGACCTTTATAGAAGTTCATCACAGCGCGACGTCCGACACCCGATATCCAATTGAAGACTTCACTTTTTAAGGTTACTAGTTAGAAACATTATTGTCTCTAGAAAACAAATTCTATTGGATATCGGATATCCTACATCGATGTCATGCGATGTGAATCCTTCATAAGTTTCATGGAGAATTTACATTGCGTTCGTTATCCAATATCTCTATTGGAAAATGAATTCTTTCATTGGACAATAAGGATAGGTTCTTAAGAATATGTTCTTAAAAAAAAAACCAGACAACCTTTTTGATGACGAGTGTACACTCGTGATCTGGGTACCTATTATGGATTTCTTCGGAATCAATTCCGATCGGAAACATTCAGTTATTTCGTAGATTTCTATTGTCTTTTCTAGGGGAAACGGAATTATTCCGATCAGAATTGATTTCGAAGAAGTCCATTAGGATTCTGTAACTCGTTATTGGAGTTAACAACAGTTTCGTTATCGTTGCGCAGCTTTTCTACGGTGTACAAAAGCTGCGCAACGATAACGAAACTGTCGTTAACTCCAATAACGAGTTACAGAATCCCAGCACTGGGCTGGTATTTCGTTACCGTGGTTCCGACAGTTGTCGGATCGGTAGGCGTCATTGCGCAGTTTTTCCACGGTACAAAAGAGCGCGCAACAATGTTTGTGTTCAGCAGAGAAAGCTGCTTTGCAACTGTTC